ATACTATCTGACAAATGCCGACAAATGTTGTTTTGTCATATAAATTAATATCGTTAAAAAATAAAAGTTGTTGGTAGAAGGGTGAAAATTTAGACTTGTGTATGTTTTAATGCCGAATAATACACAAAAAAATATAATCATTAAACTAAAAAAATTGTCCAAATAATTATATTTTTTTAGCGTGAACCATTCTTATCATATAGCTGTATAAAAATAGATATAGATAGAGACAACCTATTCACAGACCTATCCAGTATACATATAAAATTTCATAACTTTTGTCATTCTTCTCCGAAGCGTCTTATCAGCGATTCGTTAAATATGGCAACCAACACTGACGCGAGAATTTTATATATTAGACTCAGCATAATGAATATACTGCTATGTACCGGTATAATAAACATATAATAGACTCTTAAAGAAATTTTAAAAAAACATTATTTGTTTATATTTATTTCATTTTAGTCATATTATAGACGTGTATGACTATAATGTGTGTGTATAAGCTTGGTTTCAATAAAGTATCGATTAATCTATTTTCTGAACAAATGTAATGTATGTGTGTTTTGGCCTTCGGCTCATTGAAGCTATAGTTATGGAGTGGTCTATTAAACATCACGCTATAACCGTTAGGAGCTGATAGTGTGCTAAGTAAAAATAAAGTAATAATTCAACGGACGATGTGAGGTGATCTAGAACGCCGGTTACTAGAAAATGATTGTTAAGATACTGTTTTTATAATATCAAAGAATTCTTGCAATATACAAGCTCTATGATATTTTAATCGTTACATGGTATATATAAAATAAAGTCGCTGTCGTGTCTGTCCCTATGTATGCTTAAATCTTTAAAACTACGCAACGGATTTTGAAGCGGTTTTTTAATAGATAGAGTGATTCTAGAGGAAGGTTTACATATATATAATACATGTACACCCGTGCGAAGCCGGCGTGAGTAGCTAGTAAATAATAAAAATTAATGTTGTTTTATAACTACTAATGAATTAGAGCTAGTTAATAGTTTGTATTCACACATTTCTACTTAAAAATGTAAAGTTACGACAATTATTTAAAAGAGCAAGTTGCAAGGTTATTGCTCGTTTTTCTTGTGATTAGCCAGATTTCTTAATGAGCGGTAGATAAAAAAAAATAATTATAACTATTCAAAACTGTTTAAATGTAGGTTTATTTGAATAAAGAATCTTCTATACTATTGTATCTGTCTATCAACTAGGCCAAAACTCTCCAGTTACCTATCACTAGGTTTATAATCCCAGCATAAATATCATACCGTATTTTGAGAGAATATTTTAACGGCATTAAAAGCTTGTAATATTCGAAGAGAATATTTTGATACGGATTAATTGCGGTACTCTGCACGAATGAAATGACTCTTTACTGTTCCTCTCACAGAACAAAAAAACTATTACATAAACTAATATGTCTATAATTATAGACACATATAATTACAATAAAATTAGGTAGACCTGAACAAAGCGACTGATTGTGCCATTGTAGTTGCCAAGTTCTGGTCAACACATATTTAGATATACCATTGACACGAAAGAAAGAAAGAAAGAAGAAGAAGAAGAATTACAACAAACCATGCCCCGAGGTAATAATGGGACGCCTTATATTTAATACTATAAAGGATAGAAAGTTGCAGTACCTTGGACATAACATTCACGAAAAATCTAGGGCCTACGAAGACGGAGCGGGCGCTATACGTCATGACTAACGGTAGTGGTTCGAGTGGTAACATACCTCTGTTCAGAACAGTGGTGGATAAAGTTAAGATCGCATGATGATCACTAACCTTCAGTAAGAGACGGCACCTACAGAAGACCCCTCCGATCGATCCCCCGTCCAATTCAAACGGTGATCGATTACGACGGCCTGAGCCGAGGTTAGAACCCCTAGTGGTGCCCTCAGACTAAAGTCGTATCCGACAGGCAAGAGTTGGCCTTCAGCCGCTCCATAAGTCCTTCCGCGGGTTTGGAGTGCCATCTGTACTCGTCCCCTGACGTCCGGTAAAGCTGTAAAGGCCAGCTGCGGCCAACAGCATTAGAGTAGTCCGAAAAAAAAAGAAGGTTGCTAAATAGCGATATCACGAATAGCAACTAGTGGATTATGATTACGTTAAGGGAATGGTAAATCATTTGATGGCCCACTTCTTTAGAAATAACTCTCAAGGAGAGTAAGTAATATTTTAAGGAAATTATTACAAATTATTATGGATAGTTAAGATAAGACCATATGAAGGTCGAAAAAGAGTTGGATGGAATGTGTGAAAAATGATATAGTAAGAAAGGGAGTAAATAACGACATGACTGCGAACAGGGATGAATTGAAGAGAAAAATATATTATGCCGACCACAAATAAATGGCATAAGGAAGAAGCAGATGATGATACCTTGAGAGGTGACTATACCTAAGCGTGAACCATTCCAGTATTATTGATAAAAAAATCCACATTGTATCAGGTGGTCCGTAATCTTTACAGGCACATAAACTCAATTTAGATGATAAAATTACAGAACTACCGCCCACTAAAGTATTTACACGTGTCGTCACAGCAAACATTACTTGAACTCTCTTCAGTTCCCTCTTTCGTTACGTATTCATTACAAATGTGGGCACGTAAAACCATATCCTATTAATTTTCTCTATCTGCAGGACACAACGGAAACTAAATATATTCAGCAATAGATTAGAACTGCTTACTTAAAAATTTATAGAGGTTCGTTGACAACTAATTCTAATTTGCACAGGTGAATTGTAAATTTGTAACTGTTATGGTAATTATCGTCTATGTTTGTGAGTGTTAGCCTTGGTGGTCTAGTGGTTTAGCATACCGCTTTATTATCGGGTCGCGGGTTGGATTCCTCGCACGGTACAAACATTTGTATTCATGAGTATGATTGTTTGTATCGGTCTGGGTGTTTTCCATGTATATTAAGTATTTATTTAAAAAAAATGCATCCATATATTTATATCAGTTGTCTAGTACCCATAACACAAGCTAAGCAGAGCTTGTGTTATGGGTCGGTCTGGGTGTTTTCCATGTATATTAAGTATTTATTTAAAAAAAATGCATCCATATATTTATATCAGTTGTCTAGTACCCATAACACAAGCTCTGCTTAGCTTGGGACTAGATGGCGTTTTGTGAATGTGTAAAACAAATCGGCCTAATGCCGTTTTAAATATAGATTTTAGCTAAAATAAATTTCAATGTCCATAATTATTTTTGCAACTAATAAAGTTTATTGCTAGTCCGTTTCTGCTATTTTTTTATGTAGTTTTCGTTCATATTTTTTAAAATACTTACTTGTTCTTTTTTTTTTTGATGATGGGAAGTTTTAATTGTTGCACATATGGTATCATGCCTATAGTTAATTTGTAATTTCACTGCCATAATGTTTTTTAAGCCGGGTATCATCTATCAAAGCTAGCTGCATAGCAACAGAAACATATATAGAAGAAATTTGTATATATTTTCCTTCATGTCGACATAGTGTAAGAATGTCTAAACTAAATGTATACAGAATATTTCCTAAGCCATTTGTATTCAGATGTCTTAATCTTTGTACATAAAATATCACTTAGGGTCTGAATTCCAGATGGCTTCCATAATTTATTACCTAGGTTACCCTTTTTTTGCAATATTTTCAAGCTGACCAAATGCATGATATAGCCTGAACTGAAATATTATTTTATCTGTGGTCTGAACAATCTAATTTTACTTTTTTAATATACAAGATAGCAAAGTCGTCATGTTAAAGGGTCCTGTCATCGTAATATTTACTAGCTACTCGCCCCGGCTTCGCCCGGGTGTACATATTTAATACATATAAACCTTCCTCTTGAATCACTCTATATGTTAAAAAAACCGCTTCGAAATCCGTTGCGTAGTTTTAAAGATTAAAGCATATATAGGGACGAATAGACAGTGACAGCGACTTTGTTTTATACTATATAATGATGATGTTCCGTTTAGATCATTAGCTAAGAAAACAAAACAAATACGACATATATACAAATATATTCATATATTCAAAATATTCATGAGTATGTTATTGATCTGGTTTTCATAAAGTACATATTAATGTATGAAATGTTTTTTATAAGTATTTGCTTAGGACTAGATGGCGCAGTCTCAATTGTCTAGGGTCTATATTTTGTCAGTGTATTACTATTCAAAAATATAGCGACTGCTGATACCTCTAACAGGTGAGGTGAGCTATATATTCGTCCCAATCCAGTTATATGAAAATATCTGTTTCAAATACAAACAGCAATATATCAGGTCTCACTGACAACTTTGTTATTATGAAACCCCTAAAAAAGTTTGACATTCCATCAATCATTTGTAAGCCTCCATCTGTTGTGGACCGTCCACATTTTAGACTTGCAATATTAATAAAAGAACTTTGCGGATCATTTTTTATCATTTTGAGCAACCCTTGCATAGCTTGGAATTTTTTAAAATATTACTTTGTTAAGATTCTTGTTGAAATTCTATATATTGTTGGAGTTTATTGATAAATAATTCTCATCTCCATACATATTATTAGTAACTAAAACTTTGTCAGTATTTTTAGTAGAAAAATTAACTTATCATAAGTATCTGTAACTGACTTGTATGAATAAAGATATTTTATTTTGATTTTACTCATAATTGACATATATTTTGCCGACCTCGGTGGTCTAGCGGTTTTAAACACCGCCTTACCTCCGATGTACGGCTTCGATTCTTCGCACGCTACAAATATTAGTAATCATGAATAATGACAGTTTGGAATGTTCTGGATATTGCACATGTGAATGAAATATCTAAGTATGTATCATACGTATATTATCCATATCACAAGCTCTGCTTAGCTCGTAACTGGATGGCGCTGTGTGAATGAACCAGGATATTATTATAATGTATTTACTTATTCGCATTAAGTAACAGTGGATGTACATTAGAAACAAATAAAACACGAATATCGTCCATAAACATTTATTAATATAATTTATCATTTTGCATATTCCAATATTAGTAATAATACAATTATATTCCACATTGAGGAACATACAATATAAGAAGCTACGTACAGTTGATCTACTAGGCTGCAATACCATATACCCCCTGTCCAAGAGTCACATATAGAGTACATTAAAGATTCCATTTAACCATATGAATTATGTATTATGACATGTTAATAGATATTTTAAAAATCTAAGTTGCCAATCGCAAATACAAGTGGCGTCGTTTCTTATAAAGGCTTATTACAGCGTCTTTCACCAAGTTTTCTATACCGTTAGTCACTTATATTACTAGAACATTTATTTTTAAAAGTTATATACTTATATTTTTTTTTCTATTTTGTAATATTCGCTACATCCTATTGACATAAGTTTACCACCAATTTTAGTAGCTACTGTTTCTACTTTAGCTTACTTAACTCTACATACATACATTGCAATAGAATAGAACTGCCCCCAAGACGAGAGTCCGTTGGTACAACTTAAAATTTGAAAATAATCGCAATCACCAAGAACACATCGCTAGAGGCAGTTGTCGGGGTCTGATTGGCCGAGCTGATTGTCGAAGCGTACTGATTGGGCAATAAGGCTGGGTGATTGCCCAACCACGTAAGCGGACACTCGGCTCAATCAGAGAGAAGAACTAACGAGCGAAACCAAATCATGAACTCGAGAGCTAATTAAATTTTCAAAACGAATTTATTTCTTAATTTTGTATAAAGGTCCAAAAATATTTCCAAACTAAATCTAGGTCCCTGTTTTCGAATTTAGATAGCTAAGTCTTTAAATTAAGGTGTTAAATCAATTGCGAAAGGAAATCAAATGAGAACGCAATAGGTCCATTGGTTGAACGCTGAGGTTGTTGCATCCAGTGGAGCGGCGATCAAGTCGGCTGGCGGGAGCTGAGCGCCGCTTCAGAGGACGTATGTGGGGAGTTTATCCCCACTTTTGGAAGAGGCCCATCCGCTGGCATCGGCAGTTGGACCCCCAGAGATTACACCTGCAGGACGAGGAGTGGCAGCAATCACCGGGCCGGTGGTCGCAGTTCCCCCCACGGCGGATACAGGCTCGTCTGAAAACGTAGATCAGCGACGAACGTCTGAAACCATATCATCGAATGCTATCCTAAGTGTGCTTGGGTATACAAATGTGCATAATGCATGCTGCTAGAGTATTATACAGTCACACTTGTTATCAAACACTATCTAATCTATACTAATCACTAAATTAGTAGTAATATAAAGAGATATCCACCGAAATTTAGTCAAATAAGGGATAAGATAATAATTATAATTATTTTATATATATGCTAGTCTTTAAGGTATATATTATACAATATGGGTCAATAGTGATACATATATAATTACGAAGTAATCTGGATTCAAATAAATATAGCATAAAGAAATGTGTAAACGACAGTTTTGATTTTTTTGTAATGCATTAATACGAAATATTTATTACCGACCTTAAAGACTCTTTTATCCATAGAAATTTATATTATCAGCAAGTATCTGTGTATTTTACTGAATATCTCAGTAATAATTACACTCGTGTGTAGCCGGGTCTAATTGCTAGACAAGAGGAAATATGTCTGAATCATTTTGAACAGTTTTTTCAATAAGAAATATATACTCCTTTTTAATTTTATTTAGAAACTTTTCAGGAAAAGTTTAATTTGACACTAATTTGTAGTAACAAGATTTAAACTATACTTTTTTTACGTTACTTTACCTATATCGACGTTATCAATCCTCGTTTAATAAATTTTATCTTAATCGTTAATAGTTGATTTATTACTGTAATTATTTATGGATATAAGTTATGACAAAAGAGCAGAGAGAGAGAGAGAGAGAATACATATTTTAATTTTGTCGTTGTAAATTATATCAGTTTATTCGTTGAGACAAATATTTTTTTACAATTATTAATAATAATAACTTGTTTAATTCTCATGAAAACAGAATAGATGGCAAAACAACACATTCTGGCATTGCTTAAGACATGACCATCCAATTAGCGATTACTAAACTGTTTAATTTGAGTGGTATAAGCTCAGTTCACTGTAAACAATGCAAGTTATGTAATTTCACAAATGGTATCAGCAGATAACAGTTAATTAAACCTTTTGGTTAAGCCGTGTAAATATATTACACGGACTAGTGTTCCACTCAGACTTCGCTGTTTGTTCATAACATTGTGAATATTGTATGTATTAATATATATCTTTAGGGGGGAAATGGGGTTGTTAGTAATGTGGACTTATGATCATATGGCTAGCAATGTACCATGTAAGGTTGACCTCCACGCGATTCCCCCTGGAAACTTGGCGGTTTCTTGGCGAATTTGTCACGATGTTGTCACTAACTGACCTGACCTCATACTCATCTTATCATCCTCCTCTGGTGCCTCGCCAGCGTAAACCGTTAGCGCAGGCGGGTGCACCATTCCATTATTATTCATAAAATATATATATATATCTCTTTATATATATCTTTCGTGTCTTTATTCTGACACATACAGTCATATAATAGATTATTACTAAAAATAAGACATCGAGAGTCGAAACTTAATTTAAAAGAAGTAGTAACTAAAAATCGCTTCGTTGATATTTAATAATATAGTTGAGTAAGACAATTATAGACTAACATTGATTTTCTAATATTTAGTTGATGCATTCAGTATATTGCATTGTATTTGGTTAAGTCGTGTATAATATTACAAGAACTAGTATTAGCTTTGTCGGTGTGTTCATAACATTGTGAATATTGTATGCGTTAATATATAATATTAACTAACTCGGCAAACGTTAACTTGTCAGTTTTTGTACTAATATTTCTAGATAGGGATACCCTTATCATCTGGAGGTATAAATTTAGCATATGACACCAAGAATTTTATAAATATTCGTTTTGGTAACAAGCAATATACCACAAGATTTGTATATATTAGATATGTTACTAAATTACTAAAATATGGTAGTAAATTAATGAAACAAACTTTATTTTTTTAGATAAGTATCTAATATACAAAAACCTCGTGTCGCAGTGTTTGTAAAAGAATTTCTCAAGAGATATAGTAAATATGGAGTTTAATTTGATTGTAATATAATCCACCTATACATACATACATAGACATTCCATCTACACAATTATATAAAAAGGATATACAATAGACAATAAAGTATCTACGTTCTTAGTTAAATAAAAAACTAACAACTATAGACATATCCATCTATATTTTATCTATGATTTTAATCAGCGGTCCGCAACCTTTGGTCAAGTCTTATAGTGGTAAAATGAGGTAGAGACGGGTCTTGTGAGACCCGTCTCTCGTAACTCGCTCGTAACTTTGATAGTAGGTGTCTATCTATCTCTGTCTATCTCTATAAAAATAGATGTAATAATATAATATCTTCTGGTAGGTATCTACATACTAGAAGGTATCTTCTAGTAGGTATCTACCTACTAGAAGATATTACAGGAGAAGACTTTCATTTTTAATCAGTTCTAAAAAATGATTGGAGACAGAAATGACTCTATCCTCTTCGGTATACTCATACAATTTCATACTGTGAATTCATAGAGCCTACCGGTTGATTTAAAAGGACGGGAGGTTCTATATGTAATTATACTTTATTATATTTTAGTCTATTTTTTTATTAAATTTTAGATAATAAATAAATTATAATAACTAACAGTTCTAGATCCCAAGGTGCTGCGGACCGCTGATTTAAACTATGAAATAAATAAATATATTTTAATAGTATCAATAAAAAGGGAGCAACCATACTCACTTTCCGACATCCTGCAGGAGTTGCAGATCTCCGGGGTCCTCGCCGTAATCCTGTAAATTTACTTCAACATCTTCGTCGCCTGCGAACAAAAAGTCATTTTTTATTCTTTATTGTACAGACACATAGGAAAAAAAATAACAGTAATAAGGTAAAAGTAATGTACAAGGGCGAGCTTATCTCTAAAAAGAGATTTCTTCCAGAAAACCTAAAAAATGTTATAGGAAAATTTGGTTACTAGATCAGCCATACATACGTGTACGAGAAAAGAAAAAAAAAGGAAAAGAATGTATTAATTAGTATGTATTAGTTAGTAATTAGTTAGTATTCATATTTCATTGACATATGTATATTTTATGTAAAAAGATATAAATAATGATCAAGATTCTTACTTAAAAATATTCTAGAAAGCAAACAACTCCTAAACTACTCTAACTACAACTAAAAATAATTTGACGGCAAAAAGACTCCGGTTATCACTTTCCATCACGTACTTTTCATCTCTACCTTGTACATCATGCCAGTCACATAAAAAAATATTTTTAAATTTAGAATTATCTAGCGTTATCTTTTAAAAATAACAAAATAAACCTACTCTCACATATAAAGTTGAATATTATGTAAATCTCAATTATTTTTTTACTCTAAAATGTAATTTAGTATAAAATTAATTACGGTTAGGGCAACATCAAAAATGGCTCCTCCCATGCCATGTCACTGTCCATTGATATTATCCATGAAATTAAATACCATCTGTTCTCTAGAGATTTGGGGGCGTAAAATAAATTCGAAGTTACCCTTGGTCCCTTTACCTAGTTATCTGTATCGAGCAGCCCTTCCGGTTTTTATTTACATATACCTACCATTCACAAAAATTAAGGCCAAATCATCATTACATAGTATAAATTTTTCCACTTGACATATTTAATTGTACTGCCACAGAGTTTCACAGAGTGGTAACAAGTCACAGCATTAGTGTATTTCTAGATTATTATTGTAATTTGTAGCAACTATACAAATTTTTATTTGTATATTTTTTTTTATGACCTTATTATTACCATTATTATTATTATTAACGTATGTATTGCATACGTTTATTCCTTGGTGAGTACATTGGTATTATAATGTAATACTCACTGAGAGCATGTAATTTTATAAATAAATAAAATAAAGTCGCTGTCGCTGTCGCTATCTGTCCCTATGTATGTTTAAATCTTTAAAACTACGCAACGGATTTCGAAGCGGTTTTTTTTTAATAGAGTAATTCAAGAGAAAGGTTTATATATATAATACATGTACACCCGGGCGAAGCCGGAGCGAGTAGCTAGTTATGAATAAATTGTATCATTGTTATTGATTTTCTACAAAATGTATGGGTATTTGAGCGTCTATATCACCCACAAAGAAGCTAGTTTTGTGAACTATGTTTCGGTTGTAGGGTCAGATTAACCTAGTAAATTACAAGATTAGAGTCAACACACCTTAGTTCTCTGGAATAATAATAATATTCCAAGCTAAGCAAAGCTTGTGTCATATCTTTAGACAGTATAAAACGATACCGCTTACACTGTCTAATAAATAAATAACCCTGAATAATTAACACAGAGCCATCTGGTCCCACGGTAAGCAATGCTTGTGTTATGGGTGCTAGACAACTGATATAAATACATAGATACATTTTTTTCTAAATACACACATAATATACATAAAAAAAACCCAGACTGATACAAACAATCATATTCATGAATACAAATGTTTTGTACCATGCAATGAATTGAACTTGCGACCATTGGAAGTAAGGTGGTATGCCATTCCAGTGACTACCGAACCGTAGTCACTGGAATGGCAACGCACGAGTACATATATACAATTAACACAACGCCATCTAGTCCCATGCTAAGCAGAGCTTGTATTATGGGTACTAAACAACTGATATAAATACTTAGATATTTTGTTGTGTAAATACATACACAATATACATAGAAAACACCCAGACCGATATAAACATTAAACAATCATATTCATGAATACAAATGAAATACCGTACTTAAGTCTATAGGCGACGGTAACCGTTTACCATCAACGGTGACATAAGCTTGTGTGTCATAAAATTTCTTTAAAAAAAAGTACAAAAGCGATAATTACCATTTTTAATTAAACTATAACAAAGAAAAGAGTTATTCTGGAAAAGCTCGGGATATAAAATGTGCACAATAACATAATATCCAGGAACTGCAAGGAACAGTGGCAGAGAAATATGACATTCATCCCTTATAAAAATAATACTAAATAATAACTTTGAACCAAGTTGTGTGTAAGAGATTGCTTATGGCGATGAGACCGCCTTCCGTAGTGCAGTTCGTAAAAACTTCTTTCTTAATTCTCTATGCATCGTGACCGTTAAAATATTTTATTTTTAATCCTTCTTGTTATTTCTTTTATATTCTTGAATGTTATTGCCTATATAAATACAAAATTTAATGAATGTAATATATTTTAATGTAATTTATACATTTCATAAAATCATTCTTATTTGTGAACTGTGCACAATAAGATATTTTATTAGTCTTTTCTTATAGCGTTTGTTACCTGCAAAATTTTATTATTGTAATATATTTCATCATAACATTTTTCTATTTACTTTTTTATTCATTTGGGATAACAACAGCTTACACTACATAATGCTATTGCGCGGTGCGAGATTCGAACCTCGGTTCAAGCCGTCGTAATATCGATCCCCGAAAATCGTTAGTTTTGAAGCTAGACTGAAACGCTGAAAATTTTTCTTCGGCTTTTTTAGGTTTTTTAGATTATTGAATATATTTTCTCTATTTTCGTCAAGGCCACTAAAACACGCAGACGTAGTCACGGACACAGCTAGTATATTATTATTATAAAAAAAATCAATATAGTACTTCCATTGAAACACTTCCGTTCCATTCGTAACTAGAGCTTTTGTCATTTGTTTATCTGAATAGCAAATAGCCTGATTAAATATCAGTAGCTGTAATATCTTCATTTAAAACACAATATCCGTACATCCCACGCTGCTCTTTTCGATTTGTGGTTTATTCTGTGTAGTAATATTTGATTACTAGTCCTCGTGATTGAGTATCAAAGCATTGCAAACACAATATACTAGACTACAAATATTTATTGGAATTTGCACAATATCACAAAGTAAAGTATTGGTCTATACGGGCTACCCAATACAATGCTTTGAACGTTCTTTTTATTAAACATTTTATATATGTAGATATTAGGTTAGACTCTGTAATATTAATATTAAGATAAAAAAATTGGTAGCAGAAAATGATACCATTAATTCATATTGAAAATACTCTTTGTGAAGGCCATTTTGATAAGTTGGGGAATTTTAACTGAAATAAGAATAATCTTAGGACAATTCACACAGCGCCATCTAGACCCAAGTTAAGCAAGCTAAAGCTTGTGTTATAGAGTACTAGATAACTGATACAAATTCGTTTTTTTTTTCGATACAAACAATCACACTCATGAATACAAATGTTTGCACCATGCGAGGAATCGAACCCGCAACATCGGAAGTAAAACGGTGTGCTAAGACTAGACTACAGTGGCCGGATTAATTGTAACAATTTAACTAGTAATTACCAGGATCGATGTATGAGGCATGCGCCCACTCTGCGGCGAGCAGGACAGCCGCTAGCGCCAGCAGAAGTGCGCCGGCGCGCGGCATACTGTCCACGCACCAACCGCTGCTTGCCTATTAACATAATAAAATACATTTATATGTAGAATTAGGAAAAATCACGTTTATATTCATATTTACTGAGCTCCCGATATTTCAGCAGTGTATACAAAACCTTCATTTCATTCTCTCGTTCAAACATTCCATTTGGTGAGTCCAATGTTTCTAAATTCAAAATTAAAAAGTACCTAATATTTAATAAACGTAAAAACAGTATCATAATCTAAATAAAGACAGACATGAATACAAGAATCGGACTGGCCTCGGAGTGCGCAATTTAATTCGTTATTTCCAATCTGTCCATATTGTTTTACGGTGGCAAATTGTATAATAGAAAATATTTTTTCCCTCGCAATTGATTTAATGGTGACGTGATCGTGAATATTTTTAAGAAGAAAAAGTATTTCGAATTGGACGGCTCGATGTTCGACGTTCTATTTTTGAATTACTAATTTTCTTTTCAGCAAATACCTAATGGCTTTTAAGACTGATCACAAACGTAATTTAAAAATGAAAAATTTTTTAAATATTTATTTTAATAACAACAAAGGTTAGGAAGATTTTAAAAGGAATTTTATTTACATGATGCGACTCAGTCGCGGTCGCGCGGTCTTAGTATTTAAAAACCGAACGATCTACATGTCATATTTATTAGTTTTAAATATTGTACATTTCTGTATGTGATGATGACATACTGGCTGAATAGACTAGGCAAAATATTAAATGTTAATTTTAAATTATTTAATTTGATTGAATATGTCACTTATTATAGCAAAATATTGCAATTTTCATCCCAAAGATTAACATATGTAAGTGTTGTCTGAATGCAGCAAAATAGCGAAAATATATGTTTATAATATATATCTCGTATTATATTCATTGACCTTATTGCTGTATCTAACTATCAATATAGATCTAACGGGTTGCCATAGCAACCTCATAAGATCACGTAAACCAAGACAGAGCTTTGCTCTTAGATATCTTCACGCAGTGATTACTATCTTGCTCACGTACTTATGCTTAGGTACAATATATGTGTGCTTACTAACCCCACTATTAAAGCCTTAATGGCCTATAAAACACCATAGCTGCTGCAATTTATTGAGCAGAAAACCATGGTATCTTCATGTATTTTGTAAAGCTTCAGTGATTCACAATAAAATAGTTTTATCTACTCCATCTATGAGACTGTCATGTTCATTGACTAGTCATCATTACATAGAATAAAATAAAGTCGCTGTCGCTGTCTGTCCGTCCCTTTGTATACTAAAACTTCGCAACGGATTTTGAAGCGGTTTTTTAATAGATAGAGTGATTTAAGAGGAAGGTATATATATAATACATGTACACCCGTGCGAAGCCTGGGCGTGTAGCTAGTATATAATTAAGAAAGTTTTGTATATACGAATATTACTAATATTATAATCACTAAAGTTTGTGAGTATGTGTAAATAGATGGACGTTTGTTACTCTTTCACGCAAAAATTATTGAACTATTTTGATAGAACTTTGCAATTATGAAGCTGATACATAAAATATTTTTAGAAAAAATTAAATTAAGATTTATGTAATCAATAATGTGGCGATATATAACAATAAATGTCAAATATGAAGAAGTTTCAAGTATCAGCTAGTCTTAGGCGTCCATAGGTAACCATTTACCATCAGATGGGCCGTATGTTATGCCACCATTTGTCATATTGGTGGAGTGGATTATATTCAATCTCTTTATTTATTAGTACATATTATTTCAAAGGCTTATATTTATAGAGGTATTATTATTATTATTAAATTGCTGTCCTGCATGTCTCTCAATTATAGGAAGTCCGAGCGTTATATGTTATCTATGACTTTGCAAGTTGATATCATTTCATGGCAGTCATAACTACTAACTATTGTGTAACAGGCTCGTTTTCTATGGATGTAATAAACCCCATGACTTTCAAAGGTTTAATGGTAGTAGCTTCATTCAAAATACTATTCATTGAAGGTATCTTTATGACGTACACTGCGGAACATAATTAAGGGAACTTTAGAATATGACGAGTCATTGCTACATTCTGGGGACATTATTATGATTAAATTTTAAAGGTAAGTTATTACCCGGGGTTTTGTCTGCTTTCTTGAGATATCAAGTAGCCTACAAGTACATCCGTCCTTGTGATTTAATCTATTTACAATTTCATTAAGATTTGGTTAGCTGCTTAGTTGTGAAAAGTAACAAATAGACAGATAATAACAATAATAATAATAATCTCAGGATAATTCACAAAGCGTCATCTAGTCCCAAGTTAAGATATCTAAAGTTTATGTTATGGGTAAATAAAATATATTCTATGTTTCTATAGGTGATTATAAATAAAATATATTCTATCTATATAAAACTCTTAATCTGAATGCAAAATCTAGAAAGTTCCGAAGCAGTTTTAAACACCTCCAGTGACCGCAGTCTGCCAGGCGTCCACAATTAAGAAGTTTGCAGTCTTTACAGTTCGAGAGAAGTTTGATTGCTTCGCCGTTTGATCGGATATGTTGAAGCGTGAAATCTAAACTCGAGAATCACGTTCCTGTAGATCCTGTAGACTTTAATTGTATATCTATAGAGGTATTAATTTTAACCACGGTCTTAAAATCTATTGCTTATATTTCAGTTCATATTAATCTATACATCTATACCTATAAATAAAATTCGAATGTCTATTTGTAATATTGAAATAACCGTTTTTTACTACATGCATATGAATACAAATACGATACATACACCAAAATAGCAATAGTTACAATTTTTGTCTGTCTGTCTGTCTGTCTGTTTGTTCCGGCTAATCTCTGAAATGGCTGGACCGATTTTACCGGGACTTTATTGGCTACTTTTATTTTTTTTCACGGGTACAGCTAGTATTGTAAATACAAGTGTCTGTCTGAATATAATGAAATTTGAGGTATTTTTATATTGGAATTGCATTGTATATATGTAGAGGTATTAATTTTAATCACGGTACGATAGTTTTTATTTGTTATTCATTCATTTATTTTCTATAGCATGTACCTATTGTTAGGGTTCACATCGATATTGTCGAAAAATCTGATATTTTATATTAAAAGAAGGTAGTTTCATTATTACTCGGTATCGTTAAACTAGTTGCATATAACCCCCACTCATATCTTCTCTGTATAAAGGAGGGTTTTTGTAGGCCGCGGCATTCGGTCTTTGAGCACAGGATGTGCTGGTTGTATTTTAATTGCTAAAGTGAATTGTGTTAGAGACATAGTTAAATTAATGTTATATAGTTGTTATTTTATTATAATACATACTTTTACTAGTACATAGAGATGATATATCTAACACTATGCTGTCGGTAACTGATAACTGTCGCCTATATATATGAAACTGAAACTATAATACGAGTATAATGGTAATAATAATCCTCGACAATTCATACATTGCCATCTAGTCTAAAGGTAAAGATGGCTTATATTATTGTGTATGTATTTAATTTAATGAAAAGATAAGATAAGTATTTCCAGTACCCATAACATAAGATAAACAAACCTTGGGACTAGATGACGCTGAGTAAATTGTCCAGGATCATTATTATAAAGGATAACTCAAAAACTACTAATCAGATCGTGATAAAGTATACATATATGAGACTAAATGGAAAGCACCAATAATCAAATAAAAAAACAAAATTGGTTGAAAACGAAGAAAATAATTCTGAGGTTATACAATAATCTTCTACTTTTTTTGAAGTCGAATGAAAAAGGAGAAGTGAGGTCACGAGTAAGAATTAGTATTATATAAACAAGCATCGAAGCCTTACTACTTGATCAGCTTACAGCGTAATCAATTGAACTATAACTTAATTTAATATGGCATACAATGACGATGTATTGAGGTAACACTATCTTAGCATATTGATTTAGCATTCCGATTTTTATTTTCTACCGCATATAACACGAAGTGTGTTCTGAGGAACTGTTCGGATTAATACCAGGTGCTGAATTTCATCATGGTACTAACCACCAGAAGCTAAAACCATCCTGTGTATCTGGATGAATGGCGGTCCTCTGCGCATTTTACCAGAGTCTTTTTGCCACACTCAAAAAACATGTTGTGGAATCACCTTCCAGCAATGGTATTTCCGTATTTATTTCATTAAGTATTTATATTAGTTGTCTAATAACCATGACATAAGCTCTGCTTAGATTGGGATTTGATGGCGCTGTGTTAATTGGCCTGCGATTATTATTATTATTAAATGCAGTACCTACCTATATTACCTTTTTACGGTTATAGGATTGAAGTTTAAACTCATAATGAAGTTTGATATGATAATAAACTGTATTATGAGGATGAACAACTGCGACAATAGTCTGAGAAGGGATCAAACAGGGGATGAAAGTTTATACAGACGAATTCGCGGGTGACAGCTAGTAAATAATCAATTTATGTTGTGCCAGTTCTGTGACGATGTTTTGGTGTGTCGACAATAAATCTGTCATTCGCAGCTGAAACGTGAAACTAATTCTGCTAGAAACAAGATTTACTACCGGACGTACCGGCTCAAATTACTTCGGATATAAACTTTTTAGGGATACGCTACTAAATATAATAAAATTTTTACATTTACAGCTGCAATCGTGGAAACTCTAAGTGCAATTGCCAGGTACTGGTGTCGTTCGGATGTAATAATTGTATAGGTGGCTTTTTTTAAATAAGGTAAAGCATATGTTTCTGACTTATAAAGTAACTTATTACAGCTGAAAGTATTTTTAAAATCGTATATATTTCTTCATTAATTTTTTTTTACATATTATTATCGTATTGTTATTTAAAATAATACAGCAACATTAAACTATAATAAAATTTAGTTATAGTTCAGAATTCATTATCAGAAATTCGGCATACTATCTAACTATAATTATTCTACATTTCTCCATTTTATTTGTCAATAAAATACAACCATATTTTACATATATTTTACTGTACAGTTCTATGGATAAAAGAAATTTAC